GTAATTTTATTTATATAGACAAGTCCAAATATTAAACCCCAATCGCAGTACACCTGTGCACTCAACAACGTTTGAATTCTCCACTATTTAATATGTAAGCATAAAAAGTAAAAACCTTTATTAAATTATTATAAACAACTAGTACACCAGTTGCTCGAATCCGAGCAATTGTAAAGTATAACCGGCATTATTTCAAAACGAATGACGGTCAGTCTACTCAAAGATAATGTAATCAATCACATAAATTATTAAGTGAATAACAATCAATCGTGCTATCTCAGGTATTATACCTTCCAATTTTTCATTAGCCCACCAAATTACTGTAATTACAAGAAAGAACCTCCAATAATAATAATAATAATAATGCGAAACCTAAATCCACCTAAGCTGTGCAATGAAACAAAGACTGACAATTAACTGATTAATTGACTGACAAATTAAGACTGAAACTTAGGACATAATGAAGTGTCATGTAGAGAGATTAGTGAACACAATATTTCTATTCAGTTGTCGTCTTGTTATCAGCAAGAGCAAGCTAGATGTTTGTACCGATATTCTCCAGCACTGACGCGGTAGTAGAGTGACGTGACAACACATCAGACAACGTAAGCTACGGCTACGGCTACGGGCACGGCAACGGAACGGCACAGCGCTGCACCGCACCGAGGACGCTCACGACACCTTGCGAGTAAAAATGTAACTATTTCCTCCCTCCCCGCACGTCCCTCAGCCGCAGCAGCCTAGCGGCCTCAGCCAGATATCTGTAGTAGGGGTTATATTATCTGTGGTACTTGGCAAAAGCCACCGACTGCCTCTCCAACCAAGTAGCAGTAAAAGTAGTGAACTGCTAGAATTGGTACACTCTGACTTGGTTGGACCAATGGAAGTAAATTCTCTTGCTGGTTCTAAGTATATTCTTACTTTCCTAGATGATTTTAGCCATAAAACATTTGTTTATTTCTTGAAGACAAAGGATCAAGTTTATGAAACATTCAAATCTTTTAAAAATCTGGTAGAAAATCAAACTGGGAAGAAAATCAAAACTCTGAGAACAGATGGAGGTGGTGAGTACTGTAGCAAGAAGTTTTCTGAGTTCTATGAGAAAACAGGTATTGTGCATCAGAATAGCTGCAGTTATACGCCACAACAAAATGCTAAAGCTGAGCGATTGAGAACCGCACACTAATGGATCGTGCCCGATGTTTATTGCTTGACTCCGAGCTGCCTAAATGTTTTTGGGCTGAAGCAGTTAACACTGTAACTTACCTGTTAAATTGCTCACCAAGTAGGACAATTTCTTCGACTCCTGAAGAATTGTGGTCAGGCAAAAAGCCAACCCTCTCTCATGTGAAGACATTTGGTTGCAAAGCTTATGCACATGTTCCAGCCGCAAATCGTAAGAAACTGGATGCAAGATCGACACCATGTATTTTAGTAGGATATTGCTCTACAACAAAAGGCTACCGTCTCTACAATCCGAGGACAAAAACAGTACTAATTTCAAGAGACGTGGCATTTTCTGAATGTGAAAAAGGTAGTAGTTTGATGAAAAATTACTAAGGTCAAGAGGATTACATGTTTTACATTCCTCCAGAAGATATAGATTTTTCTGTAGCAGCACCCGAAGAATCTGAATATGACTCAGCAGATTCTGACTTTGAGGTCAATGACAGTTCTGAACATGAAGAAAATCATCCGTTGCCAGTATCCAATGATCGACCTCAGAGTCAACCTCCCAAATCTCTTGAGGATTATGTAACTTTTTATGCTGCAAGTGATGATGATTGTGCTAAACCTAAACTCAACCGTTACAGCTCTGTACACCATTTAATGGCATTAGCTGCTGAAAAGGACCTAGAAATAGACCAAATGGATGCTGTCTCTGCATTTCCTCAAGAACCCACAGAAGAAATATGCATGAATCAACCTAAACATGAAAAAGCCTCTCGTACGTGGAACCAGAAACTACACTCATGTTTGATTAGAGTAGGACTGACTCAGTCAATCTTTGATTCCAGTGTTTATCACATGGTGAAAAATGGGAGGATGTTAATCGTTACAGCCTGGGAGGACAATTTAATAGTTTTTCACAATGATAAACATCTCAAAAAAATCCTTAAGTCACGACTAATAAAAGAATTCAAAATTAAAGATATGGGAACAGCAAAATTTATTCTGGGATTAAGAATAACCCGGGATAGGAAAAACAAGAAGATTGTCTTGATCAACAAGCATTAAACTGTGAAAAAGGAAGGAAGCTCTTAAGAAAAAGTTCAAAGAAAGCAAGTGAAAATTTGTTATAACTTTAACGAAAACACAAGACAAAGACAAGCTCATGAAATGTACCGAGGAGCAAGGAATATGCAAGTTGGGAGGATGTTGTAATGTCTAACTTACATATTCACATTGCCTGCCTAATTTGTTATAACATATGGTTTAAGTTATATTTCTATATTGTTATGAGTTTGTTTATAGTTGACCTGTTTACATTCAGTATTCTATCTTATTCTCAATTAAATTAGTTTCATGTTAATTAACTGTCTAAATTATTTTACATAATCAGAGTAATTACCGCTGCAGCTCAACTCTGCTATTTCTATAACATCAGAACTAACTTGACACAACCTCGCCTACATCAAAACATCGTAATGACAAAGACTGATACTGCTCTTGTTTAGGCCTACATTCCGCAGACGGCTCGTCCAGCTTGCCAACAGTTTGCAGCCAAGCTAAATACTGTGTGATTTTCAATTTCTAGGATATTGCAGATCATTCTTATGTTAAAATAAAACTTAATGACCGTTAATGACCCTCCTGCTGTCAGTCATTTTTGTGTGGTGTCGGTTGGTTTTCCAGCATTTTGCAGCAATGTTTATTAACAATTATAACAAATCTACTTTACAAAATAACTATACAGTAGAGTCCCGCAAACTCTGTGTAATGTGAACAGCAAGGGTGCTGAGTTTGTGAAATGCCGGGTTATTGTGAACTAGGGTTAAAAATAAGAACAATACACAGTTTTTAAGCTTTTTAACCGCATTTTTTAATTTATATTTATATTACAAGTCAGTATTAAGTCATCAGATTTATAGTAAAACAAATCCTTAGTACCAGTTGCAAATAATTTGACTTAAGCTGGCTTGAGTCCATGATCAACTCGGACTCAAAAAATCAGTTATTTTCTGAGCCAGGGGATGGCCGAGTTATCCAGACTGCCGGGTTATCGAGTGCCGAGTTTACAGGACTCTACTGTACCTTGATGTATATTTTTGTGCTGCTAAATATATGCACATTATAATTCAGCATAAATATTTGGGTTTTTATAACTATTTTATAATTAAATACTCCCGCCGCAGCTAACCTGCCGACTAAGCGAATTTCCATTTGTCTGAACTGATTAAATTATTAAAATTAAAATGAATTATTAAATCTATTAAAATAACATTAGCGTCATTAGGTTTAATGAGTACCTAGGTTTGCTGCTTTGAGAAAACAAATAAAGTGTATTTTTTTGTAAAATATTAATAGCTTAGAATAAAATAAATAAATTTGCCAAGTTTGATCAAAGTATATCCATAAACAAGCAAACTACAACATTTTACAATATTCTCCATAATTATAACATAGGAATTTTAAATTTACAATTTTTAGAATATTCTCTGTTACAAAAACTGTACAATAACACTTTGATATAATAAATTATTTTTTTTAGCTCTTTAAAGAGGTCTAGAGAGAAATTGAGAAATTTTGTTTTTTGAGGGTTTAAAATTAGAAAAACCATAATCCACCCCATAAAACCCCATTCCCATGGTCCGATCTTACTGGTTTGCAAACTCATTTAACTTTATCCCTCCTTACACCTTTAAACCAAATTTCATCAAAATTGGACAAAAATTACTCAAGTTATCGCGTTCACTGACTTGTATATTTTTTAACAAATCACCAATTAATTTTTTTTAACAGAAACATACTAAAAAAAAGTAATTGTCGTTTTCCGACTAAAAATTTTAAAAATATATATTTAAGCATATAACGATACCTGATAACCCTAGGGCTTGGATAACTGGAACTCGGATAACCGGGAGAGTAGTGTATTACTTAATCCCATTTCCATTTTGTATGATTTATTGTAATTTTTTTTTCAATTGTCACAATCATAAACTACAATTACCAAGACAAATGATTTCACACCTGACAGAGAGCTAGAGATGGTTTGATACCAAACTACTTAACAGGTTTAATATTATTTATTTGAGGTGTTCCTGCAATATATTTTTGTATTTATTAGATCCTAAAGATTTTACTCATGGTAGTTAGCCAAAGATACATTAATTACATGTGTTAAGCTTGTTAACTTTAATCATACACTACATATATTATAATACTACTCTATATATTATAGTAGTATAGGAGTACACTGGGCTGGTTTCTGTGCTGCATGTAAAAAGGCTGACATAAAATCCAGCCAGTGAAAATCCCTTGTGTATTTGTTCCTTTCTTGAAAAAGATTAAAAAAATTGGATACATGTTAGAAAATCTAGGTAGTTTAATTGTCAATCAAATAGTAAATTAAATACTTACAGTTATAACCATTAAAGATCCATCATGTCATGGTGTAAAAGTTGTACATTCTCAACATTACCCCTCAACCAGCCCAGTGTACTCGGGCATTCACACGACATCTACTTTTAAAATAGCTCTGAAATAAATTTACTCTGTCAGCACACCTATCATGCTTCTCACCGGCATTTGATGGGCCTGTCTGTCCAAGTGTTGTCACAGTTGCTTGTGCTTGTGATGATGTCAGAGAAATTTGTTAAACGTGGAAGTTGTACGTCCTACTCTCTGGCAAGCCTCCTTTTTCACCAGCTATTAGCTTGTAAGCTCACCCTCCATATCTTTCTTGTATATGGACTATCCATACCTAATATGAAAATATTTAGAAAAGTTACTTAAGTCTTTTTCTTTCCATTTATGTAAGAATATTGTCATTGTTTAAGATTGCCACCAAAGACCCTCTCAACCCAATCAAACAGGATATCAAGAAAGGTGCGTTGAGGTTTGTGGCCAACTGCTTCCCTCACCACGGCTACATCTGGAACTACGGGGCTCTTCCTCAGGTGAGCCTATGTTATCAAATCTGTATTTTTGTTCTATTATTAATATTTTTGTAAATACCTCGCTATAGTTATGCTATAGTTAACTATTCAGATGTATGGAAATAACTTGTCTTTGGCTTGCTGGGGGCTCCGCCCCCAGGCCCTCTTTTTTGGTTAGGGGATTGTTGGAAATATCCTTGGAGAACATCTGTTACTGGTAAATTTTAAATAACACAATAATAAGAAGGTAGAAGAGAATACAAGGATTGCAGCCCAATGCAACTGAAGTGTTTTTGACACAAATATAAGGGGGGTTGATTTGGCAAGGGGAGGGGGTTGTAAATTTTATACAATTTTCTAAATTACTCCTTGGTTTTAAAACGAAGACTAGTAACTGTGGGAGGTTCAAGTTCTTGCCACGATAAAAGTCAGTGGTTCAAGAACTGTTGGGGGGTTCAATAATAATGGGGGAGGAGGGGTAAATGGGACTTTTGAATAATTTATGGCTAATTTAAGGTGCAAATTTTCAGCACGTTTCCAAACGATTTAGATCCGCATACCAAAAGTCAGTTACTTTTGAGGTTATTCCCCATTAGAATATCATGGGGGAGAATTCAATATTTCGGGTCGTGGGGGGGTGGGTGGGGTATCTATCTATACTTATTTAATACGCAAGCAGGATTTTTGTGACAATTACTCCTCCGAAACCGATTGACATTTTTTTGGTGTCATTGGAAAGAGTGTAACGTGAAGCTGTGCAGGAAACTTTCTTCTTAGGTAAATAATTAGAGAGTGAGGCCCTGGGGCCCTTTAAAGTTTCGTATTTCTCCATAAGATTAACACGGGAAACAAACATTGTTTTGAAACTCCAGCTGTTGTCAGAAATTAAATATTAATAATTGGTCTCTATGGAAGCATGAGAAAATTCACAATGTTTACATTTGCTTTGACATTTTAATGTAAACAACCAGAACTGTCAAATGCCTATTTTAAACAGCTGATTGAAAAAATAAAACAACTATGTGGTAGGTTTATTTAATCTTAAACTTTACGATGGGTTATTATAAATCTATTTCAATGATTATGAAACAGATTTTTCCCGTTGCGAAGCAAAAATTAATAATGAGAAGAAGAACATGATGTTAATTGTAAACAGCCAATGTGTAAATTATCTATGTTGTATTAAAAATGTGTATAGTTTTGGATGTTGGTTTGTGTTTAATGATAAAAGTTATTAGTTATTGAATTTTTATTTTAAGGATTTGGCATATGAGTAAGCCTATGATAAATAACACTATTTCAGAGTTCTGCCAGTTTTTGCCTAACTCTGTCCTGTAGAGTTTGAAGTAGCCTACACCTTATTGTCTACAAATTGGCTAAATAACTTAGCTACAGTACTTTATAAAATCTGACAGCATTTTTACGTTGACTTAAATTGTAGGCTTACCTTTTCCTGTCAATGGGCAGTTTGATTGTTAAAAATTAACCCTTTAAACTGAAATAGGACTGTTATGTAAATTGTGAGTATTCCCATTAGTTAATAATCTTTTAATTGACTCTTTTAAAATCATCTGAAATTATGACTGTTATTAGTTTTTAAACAAGTTATTTGTTTATAAATTACTCCTGTACTTATCTGTAATTGCTCGAATTCGAGCAACATGTACACTAGTACTTATTTAATACGCAAGCAGATTTTTTGTGACGATTACTCCTCCGAAACTACTAAACCGATTGACATGTTTTTGGTGTCATTGGAAAGAGCGTAAAGTGAAGTTGTGCAGGAAATAATTAGAGAGTGAGGCCCGGGGGCCCCTTTAAAGTTTCGTATTTCTCCATAAGATTAACATGGGAAACAAATATTGTTATGAAACTCCAGCTGTTGTGAGAAATTAAAAAAGTAAATATCAATAATTGGCCTCCATGGAAGCATGAGAAGATTCACAATGTTTACCTTTACGTTGACATTTCAATGTTAACAACCAGAACTGCCAAATGCTTATTTCACAACTTCAGACAGCTGATCCAAACAAGTACAATATTTTACACGACTGTGGTAGGTTTATTTATTCTAAAACTATGTCATTGATTATGGAAAAGAGATTCTATAACCGTAAGTTATGAAAATAATGTTATTGATATATTTTCATGTAAACAGCTGGACTACAATGTAGGTTATAATTTTTTGTATAAATTTAGTGGCTTTTCGTTTATAAATTCGAGCTACTTAACAAGTATTTGAATTATGTGATTTAGTACATCTTCCCGTTGCGAAGCACGGGTACATCAGCTAGTTATTGTAAAATTTCACTTTTCGAAAACGGCGCAAAACCTACAATTGCCAAATTTTAGATCTCCGGCTAATCTAGATGTGGGTAAACGTTATTTGGACAGATTATAGTGGTGGCTATAGGGGGCTATATATTATAAGGCTATAAGGGGGGAATAGATTTTAAGGAAGGGGAATTTTTATATGGTCCTTTTATATTCATACCTTGGTTTTAGCTCTAATACAGTAAATTGTGTATAGTTTTATTGCCCTTGTTCCCATAAAATAGGTAATGAACCAGTTATAACCTCGTTAAAGTGGTGAAATATTTAAAATTTTGACATTAAACATAAATTTTGGGGGTCAAGGAGTTAAGTTACAAAAAAACATATACAGACTAAAATTTAAAGTAAACTGAGGAGAGTACAAGACATTAATAATATTTGCAAAATTAAATTACTTAGGTAAGAAAAGGTTGTGAAAACCATAACAATTTGAAAGAAATTTAACTATTTTTGAGAGTAGGGCGTTTTTTAAGGGTGAAGGGGTGTGATTTTCAGAAAACGCTTTGTGGAGCTTGGTAAAAAATTTAATTCCTCACCATGAAAATTCTTTCAAATCTTTTCTAGCTCTTACCGTTTTTGAGTTATAGCAGTTTCAAAAAAACGTGTTTTGTGGTTTTTAGATGTCCGCCATTTTGGATTTTTGTGGGGGTTAAAATATGAAAATGGGACTTTTGCAAATTTCACCATTAATTTAAGATCCCATACTACAATACTACCAAATTTCAAGTCTCTAGCACGTTTCTAAACGGTTCAGATGAGCATATGAAGGTCGCTAACTTGTTATTCCCCATAAGAATAACATGGGGCTTGTAAAAGTGGTAAAAACCTTCAAATATGATATTAAACTTAAGTTTTGGGGGTCAAGGAGTAAAGTTACGAAAAAACATGCAATGAGCAAAATTTTAAGTAGGCCTACAGCAAGGAGAGTACAAAGCATTAATAATACATGAAAACAATTATTTTGGTAGGAAAAAGTAGTGAAAACAATTGAAAATTTGAATAAAATTTACCAATTTTTGAAAGTAGGGCGTTTTTTGAAGGTGAAGGAGTGCGATTTTCGAGAAACGCCTAATAGTGTTTTGTAGAAAATTTAATTCCTGCCTACAAATCTTTTCCAGCTCTTACCGTTTTCGAGTTACAGCCGTTTAAAAAAACGTTTTTTTTTTCTAAAAAAGGGGGATTAAGGGAATATTTTGGGGGCGTTAGAATTTGAAAATGTGACTTTTTTCATTTTTCTGGGTGGTTTGGGATCGAGACGGACCTAGACAAAAAATTTCAGCTTCCTAGCTATACTCTAGAAGTGCCTTAGAATTAGTATACCTGATAAGTCAGCGAGTTACACATCGGGCTGTATAGTTAGTTAGGTATCAGCTGTAGTTATTATTTTACTTAGCCTAATAAATTTAAGAGTTTGTCTGCAGTAAGCATAAAGTCTTATTTCCAAGGTAATAACCTGTTCCCAGACCATTTTTATTTTACCACCATCGTTTTTTTTTTTTTACTTTAAAAAATGTAGTTATAGTCCTCAAAACAAGTATAGGCTAATCCAATAATTTCTCAAAATACAATCTTGGATTTTTCTAAATATTTTTGAGGATTGAATTTGTCAAAAACTAGGATTTCCATTATTGAAATTAATTGTCTAAAACTGGACTTATCGATCTTTTCATCATATTATTGGGTTCATTACAGTTAAGTTCAGTACAGGGTGTTTTTTGTATTTTTAACGCAATCCAAATCACAAGACTCTTGAGTAGGGGTCTCAATCCCGGGCCTTCAATCCAATCCCGGGATTTCGGGATTCGTCTCAGCCGATCCCGGGATCCCGGGATCATTATGATTTTTAACTTTTTAGCCATTTTAAATGAGCGAGAAGTCTCCTCGTTGAGTACTTTAATGTTTTAAACTGGCCTTACCAGTGTTACACTACGCAATGTTTCCGTTTTCTAAGTAAATAAATATTACCACGCCGAACTTTCATCGCCCGTATTTCTTATTTACAGTGTATAAATGTTGATATGTCACTTTAGAATATAATAAATACATTTAAAAAAATCACGAGCAACCGCACTCGCACGTAGCCTAGATACGTCACGCTCACGCTAATAGATAGATTAAAGATAGCTAAGAGAAAAAGATAAAATGGGAAGAATCACGAGTAGCAGCGTTAAAATGTTATTTTGACTGACAGCAATAAAACAATATAAGATACTGTAAAAGAATAAACCATCTGCTTATGTAGTTGCGTGTGTATGAAAACGTAATTTTAGATTGTAAGAAATTTAATCACCACACTAATAACCAAATACGAAGATAAAGCTTTAAACCCTAATGAGATTATAATCGTGTGTTAATAGTTATATTTTATGGCATCAATGGAAATAATACTTAAATTTCCGATTGCAATGTTATGTTTGCTACACGAATTGCGTTGTTTACGTTTAATGTCAACAGTAAAACTCAAAATAACTTGTAGGCTTACTGTAATTAAGTTCTAAATAATGTAATAACATTTATAGAAAGTAAATCCAAATCGTCTAAAAACTGAAACATATATTTAGGCCTACATTCGTTCGCCTATTGAGTTTAATGATAGTTAAATTTTCCAATCAAAAAGATCATTAGGCCTAATTATACCATTTCGTATAATCGTCCTAAAAATAAAGAGTATATGAGTTTCAAGTGTTATTGGACTATTTTTATTAGTTTTCCTCAAGTAAAAAGTCCTCAAATCACAAAAAAGTCAATATAAACATAGGTTTTGTAATCCCATTAATCCCGGGATTAAAAGTCACCAATCCCGGGATTTCTAGGTATCAAAAATCGGCCGGGATCCCGGGATTCGGAATCCCGGGTTTGAGACCCCTACTCTTGAGACACTTTTTAATAAACAAACAAGCTCATGTGTAGATTACAAAAACACTAGATTGAGTTTTATTTACAATGAATTACCAATAACACTAAACCTCATAGATAATTATGCAACAATGCATGTCAGCTGATTAGCTATGAAGTAAAGAAAACAGAAATGCCAACATATGAGCTTCTTTTCTCATTAAAGTTGTCTTTTGGTACTTGTAATTTGGGTTGTGTTAAAAAAATACACCCTGTAGAACTTTTATTTCTCAGTTGTGTTGTAGACTAAAACGTTTCTAAATCTACTAAACAATATTACTTTACTTGACATGATTTTGTTTTTATTTTTTAGTTCCTTATGATTGCTATGTAGACCTACTATTTCCTACGTCTTCCATAACATATGCTACATTTTAATAGGCTATTCAACCACCATTAGAAATTTAATATATAATTAAATCCATTATTTTTTTATGAAACTCTTAATTTTTTAAGATTTACAATTTATCTGTTTCATGTATAGACTTGGGAAAACCCCAATGCTGTTGACCATCACACCAACTACAAGGGTGACAATGATCCCATTGATGTTTTGGAGATCGGGCACAGAGTAAGTTTGTAGAAAATGTCATTTACATTTTTTGGGAAGAGTAGAAAATACTATTTTTACTTGGTTTAAGTTAAAATAATAGTTTTTTCTCGTATGTCTATATGCATGAATGTTTTGGAAAGCAGTCTTTGGGAAGGTGCATGCTAAAGCTAATGTTGGTCTTGAAAATCGCTACTATTTTTGTAGCACACAATACTGCTGCTAATTACACTAACATTTTCAGCTGCAATGTTGCTGCATTTTTTATAGAGAATCAGCACTTTTTACAACTTTTTTTGCACATATTACAAAGTCCCACAGTTGGGGTATGCATGATGCACATAAAATGGCAAAGTAGTACAAATATTTTGTAGTGTGCACAGTATTTATAAAATATGTATGCTAGTTCATTAAGTAAAATACATTTTTAATAACAGTAAAATCAACATGCAACTTTGGCATGTTGTATTTTGAAGGCTAAACTGCTTTAAACCAATGTATCAAATGCAATAACCTGTAATTGAGAGGGTATTTTTAAACAACTTTTTTTGTACTTGCTCAAAGTAGACTGTATAACATTTATAACATTTTTCAATGAACTTTTAAAACACGCTTGAATCTGAATGTAATGAGCAAGTGCGCCATAGTTTGGCTTCTTACCAACAGACGCTTGGTTATAGGCCTACCTAATGATAACATTAGCAGGATTAAAACTCTCCACATATACATTATGTATCTTAGAATGTAGCACTGTAATAAACATTTGAAATTGAAATCAATTACATGCCTTACCTGATGATTTCCTTTAGGTGGCAAAAAGGGGAGAGGTCGTAGCAGTGAAGATTCTAGGAACTATTGCTTTGATTGATGAAGGTAATCAACTGATGTGCTAAGTCTAAAACATTCTACTTGTAGCAATAATGATCATTCCAGCTATAGAAATAACTATATCCCACTAACTTTATCACAGTACATCAGTACTATGCCCTAAAATAACTTATGTTATTATAAAAGAATAATTCTACTTTGAGTTGAAGTACTAAGCACCTGAATAATCTCAAGAAATATTGTAGATTTTTGGCATGGTTTGTAAACTCAATTTTAATTATCTTTTTATCAAAAAATTACATTTTTAAATTAGTTAATTTTGATGAGCAAAATAACATTGAATCCGTTGTGCTGCGGCAACTGGACTATAGTAACTGACATTCTATTGCCTAGTTGAAATACTATTATTAAGCTACTACAGTTCACTTTTTTAAATATTAAAAATCTAGAAGGTTGTAAATATTCAATATTTTGTCAAAATTTGTTTGGTGTAGTGAATATCTAAAATAATTATTGATATTTATCAGATTATCAATTTTTTTTACAATTTTTTTCAGGTGAAACTGACTGGAAAATATTTGCAATAGATGTAAAAGATCCCATTGCTGACAAACTCAATGGTGAGTAGCCTACTTTACATTATTATTGTTATTAGCACAACCTTCTTCATAATCTATCGTGCTGTTGGCTAACATGTTATTTTTACTAAAATTAGACCTTAAGTGTAGGTTATCAGATGAATCTGTGTAGTGTTCCCAGTTTCAAGAAAAATATTTTTGCCAGGTTCTTAAAATGTGTGAACACAAAGCCCAATTTACATTTGTGGTATACACGTGTGGCATCATCAGGAGCATTATTTACAATACCGTTTCTACTAAATCTACACTATTTATTTTATTTACATTTAGTTGGCGGATGTTGTTTATTTACATTAGCGACAGACAGTGTTTGGCATGGGTGTAGGAGCCCGAATGCGGACCGGGGACATCACACTTGTCACTGGCTGTTCAATTGGTCTGGTAGTCTGAAGACTATGAGGTATCGTAACTGAAACCTCCTGGTAGCTCTTAGTACGCCGCTTCATTATGTTTTTTCCTTTTTCAAATTGAGCTGTAATTCTTTTCACTATTCCTCCTACTTGCAATCCTGATAATATTCTTTAAGTGTTTTTTGCACAGTTACACATTTTTAATGTTGTTACTACTTTATCTTGGCAGATATCAACGACATTGAAAAGGAATTTCCTGGTTTGATGAAAGCCACCTTGGAATGGTTCAGGATATATAAAATTCCCGATGGAAAACCTGAAAACCAGTTTGCATTTAATGGAGAAGCTAAGGACAAGGCATTTGCTCTTAATGTAATTCAAGAAGTCCATTCCCATTGGAAGGATCTAATCAACAAGAAAACTGATGCCGGAGGACTTTCATGGTGAGTATGAAGCCAAACCTTGGTTTATTTGGTTTGCTACAGTAATATAATAGGTATTTAATGTTGGAAACATTACTTGTTTACTTCAACTGATGCAAACAATTTATTGTGAACTGTTTCATATGTAAACAGAAAAAAATGATGTCACCGCTAAGGCAAATCAGTGTTTTCTAATTCTTATACCAGGTTGTCAATTATTTTTGAGCTTTTAATGTTCGTAACTGACCTTAACTATGCATTCTGATACGCCAGCATCACCAGCACTATATCTACCTATGAAAAGTGTATTTCTACTGGATGTTTTTTTATAAACCAAACATAACCCAAAATACTAATACAGGTACAGAGAATCACTGTTTCCTGTTTAGGGACAAAACAATCTTACAAGTTGGCAGCCCTGCTTCATTTACTTCATCATCAATCAGCTGATATTCATTCTTGCATTGTTGTACGCATGGTTTGGTGTTATTGGGAATTTATTGTGAGTAAGACTCAACATAGTATTCTCTTAAACGCAACCCTGGTTACGATTCATTAATCCATATTGATGGAAAAATAAGTATATTGTATTGTTCACCTTTACATTTTTGATGTAACCTGTAGTTGTTTTTAGGTAGTGAAATTAGTGATGTAAAATTCCTGAAAATTTAAAATCAGATAATTTTTTCCAAAATTCATAAATTTCCGGGAATTTATGGAATGTTTTTTGTCATAGGCCTACACTCTTTTCAAACTTACAGATTTAACCACTTTAATTGGACCATTGAAAATAATTATCAGGATAAATAACTAAAAATTGGTATAAGTTTTCAAAACCATGTGTAATTTAAAAGAAAAACTGCCCAGAAAAAAATACTTAACAAGAGCACACTTAAATTGCTGTAAAACTACAATTGCAAAAACTATCTTGTTCAGTTTCACTTCACCTAGGCCTGATGAAACAGACCTGATTTACTATCCCCAATGTCCATAAGTTCCTCAATGTTCTCTTCATTGTCTTCATAACTTAAAGAAATGATGCCGATGTCCACGTCTTCACTGACTATATCCTCCTCTTCTACTCTAAAACTGCCACCATCTTTGCTTTCTTCTTCCTACTTCTTTGTAACACTTGTCCTACTTTGGGTTTGTGTCTTCTTCGGTGTTGGATTCATCAGCTTCCAGTTGTAGGAGAGGTAGGTCAATTTAGCTGCTCTTTCTGATGAAAGGCGGTTTCTCTTCTTTGGGTGAATCCACGAGACCGTGTCAAAAGTACGATCTGTGTGTAATGGCCACATCTGCCAAATCGCTTGTTCCTCTCAAGTCTCAAGCCCCTCAACCACAGCAAAGGTTTAGTAACTTTGTTTACATCTCCAACTCCCCCCAAATGAACTTTGTAGGGAAAAGCCCCTCCTTGTCCCGATAATTTGCAACTTTTTCGCGAACCATCATTGTCTGTGTCTAAATTTATTCGCTGCGCACATTCAAAAATTAATACAAACGCATCCAACAATTGGTTGGGATTTAACAAGCTTCCTTGCATTTCTAGACCTAGACGCAGCGTAGCCAGGTGAATGGGTCCAATGCTAAAATATTTTCTTTCTTTGAACTTAGCAAAGTTAATAAGTTTATATAGCTATAACTTAAAATTGAGGATGGTAGGTTGGTCTGAGCTGGGATCTTAACTCAGGGAGGTATTTTTGCCATTGAAAGTAAGTAAAAAATACATCTTAATACGTACCGGTATATGTAAGGGTAATACTCCCTGAAAATGATGTTTTATCAGCGATTGTTTTGATCAATTTGGACCCTATTTAAAGAGTTTTATAAATTCCCACTTTTTTGCAAAATTCCCGGGCAAAGGAAATATCCCATTTCATAAGTTACCCCCCACTAGAAATATTCCTGGCCCACATCCCTAAGTTAGAATCTCACCTGGAACCTTTTTTGTAGCTACTTTTAGCGGTAAGCTGATCAGTAACTAAGTAAAGGAAGCAGGGTATATCAAGCATGTTTTGGCTTGTTTTGTCGCTAAAAAGTGACTCTATAAGTGAAATTTGGCTTGTATTTGATATGAGGCAATGAATGTGCTAAAAAGATTAAAATACCCTGCAATCCAACATTCTTTTGGAAACCATTATAATAACCAAAACTAGACAAAAGCCCAAAGGAACACATCAAGACAAGGAAGGAACTGGCATTAGCCTCCCTTTGGGAGTGCACCCTTTAGTTTTCCAAGCGTTGGTCAACTCTAAGCTTGTGTGGGACTGTCTTGCCTGCTGGAATTAGGTAGGAGGAATGATCTTATGCTTTGTTGGATGGCTGGGGGACTCAGGTGAAGGTGAAGTTGCTGACGGACTGGTAAATGTTGCTTCCATATCGTCCTACCCATGCACAGACTAGTGATTTATGTTTTGTTTTGGAACTTATTACACCACCTCTTCAAGAAACACAGTTCTTATACGGATCTGGTGTTGATGGAGGAATTGCCGAAATATGCATAATCCAGTAGGTTAAACTTGGACAGTAAGGCGACAACAGGTAATTTGACTTTTTTAATCTGTAAAATATCTGGTCCAGAAAAACAACAAAAATAGGAAAATAAAAAAATTACAGGTATAGGAAGTAAAATTAATGGTGGGTTTACATTTTTTTTTTTTATTAGAGGTATTATAAAAACATCGTGCAGACATTATCGTTACTTCTTATTGTTGGATCAATCGATATGTTTTTGTTAATAGGCCTATCCAGAAAGTAGATTACGTTTTGGAATTAAGGATAAACTTAAACTAATTAAGGATAAGTCTTGGAATATATTTTACTATATACAGATGAAAGCCACAAGTTTCAAGAACTTCGCGAGTGACATTTGCCAAGTGGGGCCGGGCCAGGAGTTGTCGTGAATCAACAGGATCTTTGAGCTTAACTTTCCCCTGCACTTGTTTTGTATCGCTCTTCTAAGGTTTTACAGAGTTTGGCAATACCTTTGAGAGTTTATTGTAGTGCCTCTATCCAGAAAGTCCACAAAAACACCTTCCCTATCCCAAAAAACACTTGCCATCATTTTCCTTGCCGACATCGTTTGCGTGTATTGCTTGGGCTGGGAGGAATTTGTGTATCCCCACAGCATTGACTACAATTTTGTCTCGCAGTTCACATGTTTGACCCATGTTTCGTCAATAGTAACGATGCGATCGAGTAGTGAGTCACCATCTTTATCAAGTGCTGCAATCATACGCTGATTTTTGTGACTCAAGATTTTCGGTACCCATCTTGCACAAAACTTGTTGTAACCAAGCTTTTCGGTGATGATCTCGTGCAACAAACTTCACGAAGTTTGTGGAAAACCCATAAAGAGTTCGGTTATTGTGAATTTTTTGAGTTTTACGAACTTTTTTGACAATTTCAGCATTCACCATGTTTCCACTTTGCTCTTTGATGTGAATGTTTTTTTTTGTTTTTTTTACAGAGGGCCAGGCTTACAAGTGATCATAAGATTGCATCACAGCTGGAACAGCTTATTGTACCCCCTGATTCACAGGTTGTCATTCTCCATCAAATCCTAGGACCTTAGTGAACAATGAGAACCTTTTGTCTATGGTAACCTGTTCTTCCCTTTGATCTCCCGTCAATAGGCCGACCTTGTAGGTCTTTCAACTTGAATTCCCATCTTGTGTAGATGTCTCGCCCCCTCTTTCCACCTTTCTTCCTTGGCTTCATTAGAGTCAGCTTTAGGGGTGCCGCCCTCACCCTTCTTTTTCCCCAGCATCCTGGTTCCTGGAGGAACTGGCTTTGCAGGGTGCAGGGTTTGGGTGTTTGTAGCCCATGCCAGCCTCCTCTCACTTCTGGATACCACCATTTCGCCTTTGGCTAAAGCATCTGCTATCCTCTGTCTTCGCAACTCGCCCCTGGAAAGTCGTTTTTTTTTCGTTCCTTTCCGCGAGCGATGTTGTCATTGTCAGATTTCAGTAGACATTCCTTCTCCATTGGGGTCAGATCGTCTACGTTGTTCCCACGAATACCAGGTATCTGAGGTCCACCTCCCCAGTGATCTGATTAGAGAGGTAAGGGGTGCGTACGACTGGGTTCCCCCTGGTTGCCAGAAGGCTCTGTTAAGACACTGAATATTAGGCCCCCACATCCACGAGACTCTCAGCACGGATCGCATTACACCTTAGTCTAGGGCCCCCCTCACTTTGTTCTGTAGGCGGACCAACACCCAGTGGCAGAAGGTAGCTCTCAAAAGAGCAGCTAACAAAAGAGAGTTGGAGACCAACCCCGCATGCGAGGTTTTGCCGGAACGGCGCGTAAGGTTCTCCCACTCCCTAAACCCCCATACCTTCTGTCGTGAACATTAGTTCGGCCATTTTTAAATTTTATGACCCACTGACACACTCAACCTTCAGTGATAATGTTTTCCCCATTAACTTCACAAAGGTTCCGATAGATTTCTATCTATTTACAGTTTTTTGCAGTCAAAAACCGTATAACTGCACACACTTCACAGTTCACTTCACTTCATTTTCAATCAACACAGACATTTTCAACTGTCACAGTAACTCAACGGAGGATATCCTAAACCTCTCAATAGCACAACTAGATGCGTAACGAACTGACACCAAGATGGCTGTGCTAGCCCCGCCCCTTGAGGATACAGACATAAATGTAATTTACTTTTTGGATAGCCCTTGTATTGACCCCTTGTATTTTGTTGCATGTTTTGACAATGTTTTGCCTTGGAATGTTCTAGCTCAAACGTTAGTGTGGATGGCCCGTTCAAGATCAGCCAAGCTGAAGCCAACGCTGTGTTAGACAAAGAGCCCCCTTCCAAACCTGCTGCTCCTACTGCTTCTACAGGTTGATATCATCTTAATATCTTATACAAAGCGCATACGTCTTCTTAAAATAAAAAGAAGTGTAATTTTAGTAAATAGACTCAATAACTAGATAGATTTTTGATTATATAGATTTTAGATAATTCACAATTAAAATCCCTCGATGTCTTGATAGCCTCTCTAGATTTCTCACCAAGTCATCCAGAAAATTTATACATTAAAGGTGCATTGTCCCTGAAGTGACTCTTGCGATATTAGCTGAACGATAGTAGCTGAGCACTGGTTAGCGTTCTTTCAAATAGGACCATTGTCCTTGACGCGACTGCGACTGGAGCGGCTAGCGGCTGAACACAGCGACTGTAGCGGGTCTGCTCTGAGGGGAGTCAGAGTCGCAGTCGCTGAGCGATTTGTGTTGAGTGTGGAATTGTTTTGGTCGTAATGTCTTCAAAGAATACAAAACTGCTTCATACCCGTGAAGAAAATGAAAAGCTGTTAGGAATAGCACCTCATTCTGCCATTTACGACTTGAAGAACAGTCTGTGTTAAGATAATATATGGGTCGCGATAGCATCATATGTGGGAAGATCAGATATGTACATAATATTAAATCACTACTATTATAAGCTATAAAAAAATCCTTTTTAAAAAATCTACGTTTTTAAACGCACTATAAAGTAAAAAATAATTTATAAATATGTGGGGTGAATAAATACTTGTAAGATTTTTTAGTTTTTCGCCCCACGTTTTTCGTTTTAAATCTTACAAGTATTTATTCTCTCCACATATTTATAAATTATTTTTACTTTTTAGAGCGTTTAAAAACGTGGCATTTTTAAAAAGTATTTTTTTTATAATTTGTTTCCACTTTTTAGTCTTTAATGTGTAAATATGTTAAATCTATTTTATATGGCCTGCTAATCCTTATTATCTGTAATCATATGTTTTATCTTTCCTTTGAACTGCTTATTTTATATTTCTCTCAGGAGCAGAACCTGTACCTCTTAACCTCTGCTCTTCAAACTGTCAAATTTAAGTATTTACAGCTAACTTCGATTGCTATATTTACATTCTTCCAAAATGTTAACATGGAAAATTTGGAAGCCCATGGGGCTTAGCCCAAGTGAAATATGAAAATTAAATGATATAATGTTGCATTGTCATCCATTTGTGAGCTATGTTTCAAGTTTAAAGTCTCTAGCTCATCGGGAAGTTAGTATAAAATTGATTGCAAAGTTTGTACCGGACAAGAAAGCGAGCTAATAAAAACGTTTTAAAATTAGGTTTCACTCGAAAGTCAGCAATTTAATGAACAGAATCGCTCTAGAACAATCGCTTCAGAGACATGATTAGCTACTATCGCTGAGCTACTATTGTTGAAAATGCCTGCATTTGTAATAGTCATACAGATTATATGAATGTTGTTTTTACTATCAGCTGTCTGTTTTGTTGTCCAATATTATTCCTTGTCATGAAAACATTAATGAGAAATACATTTGATTATTTTATAGTCTAAATTCATTTTTCGTCGTAGTTTTGCTTAGATTATCCCTAAACACCTCCACTTGGGAGAATAATTCAAGAACTATCGCTCAGCTACTATCGCAAGAGTCGCTTCAGGGACAATGGCCCTTAAGACTAGCATAAAGCTGGATTGTCTTTTGGAGTCCTTAAAATATCAGCCTTATCTTAGCCTTCTGTGCAGTTAAATGTACCCTCGTTTGCATAGAAAGCCGTACCTACTGAGTTTTTATTATAAAGTGATTTTAACAGGCTGAAAACTTAATGTATTAAGTTTTCTCAACCCAGACATCCGGTGCCTTGTGTCAACCCATGTGTTAGGTGCTCTTGCCCCCTCTTTCCAGTTTTCTTCCTGGAGGCTTCATTAGTCAGCTTTGGGGGTGCCGCCCTCACCCTTTACAGTTTATTGCTTACACCATAATCACAAAATATAAGAAAGTTCATCCCAGGCCCTTAGTGAACCTTTTGACTATGGTAACATGTTCTTACCTTAACTAAAAGTTTCCCCCAACACCTTCCGCTGAGTAATAACATTTTATTGCTAGTTGAAGATGGTCAATTAAAAGCTTAAGTCTATAAAGTGGACTACTGACCACCAGAGAGTGATCAGTAGACCTACAGTGTGAACATTTGTTGACACACTTTTGAAGACACAATCAACATTGAAGAGTGACAGTCAAACCAATAATGTGAGAGAAAGTAACTCACGTACAAGGCATAGCTGAGGACGGGAATAAGGGAACAAGTGTCGGAAAATAGCTTTCGGTACGAGTTATGAACGATACTTTTATGAACCCACTACGCACGCTAGTGTTGTGTTGTGTCTAGAAGCGGAGCGGACTGCCATTGAAATCGCCTCTGCGCCAAGGAAAACTCGGCTTTAGGACTCAGTTTTTCTCGGTCAGCACCATAGCTATCATCTCACTAATTCACTCTTACTTAACTAACTCATCTCTGCTTTTTACTGCACAACTAAATGAATCCAACCAATTTTTTTAGTATTTGAAAATTTTAGTATTCAAACCATTTAGGGTCCAGCATTTTACTTCTTTCACTATCAGCAAGTGATGGATTTACCCTAAGTTATACTATATCCATAAAATGATTATATCAGGCAATCAGCATCCAACACTTTATTCAAACTCTCTATGATAAAGTCGACACAATTGCTTGTTCCACTGTAAAATTGAGGTTCAGTACCCAAGTTTAATGCAAACAGCAGATTATTGTTGTCAAATAGACACTTTTACTTATCAGTTGGTTTGTAAAACAAATCAGCTGGAAGATCAGCAGATCTTCCAATAAATGTGGTTGCTAACAAAAAAAAATTACAACTGCTGACTTTTACTCCCTAGGGACTAAAAAGGCTTTTTATTCCCTAGGGAGTACAAGAGCTACTTAAGACTCATAACGCATGTATTAAAAACGGCTGTTTTTACAGCAGTGTGACGAAAAAGTTTTCATTAAGTTTGACTTTTCCTTGAGGAAGTTCGAATAGTGACAGTCTTGTTATCATGAAAACTATTAATGAACACAGGCTCCACCTCCCTCACCTTTTTTATTTTGAGACCCCATTTATTATTTACTTAATCATATGAGAGTAAATTAAAGCTAATATATTGGGAAAAAATAATGTATTATCATTTTAAGATAACCATGTAATGTGATCAATATTGTTTCAGTGGACAAATGGCATTTCATTACTCTCAAGTAACACATGTGAAGAAAAGCAAGACAAATGGCCGGTATTAGCTCATGATGAAGGATGGTGTTTTGTATAATAAAGGTTAACGTTATCTTTACAAAAATTTGCATTCATTTACCTAAAAGTTTTTTTCTGTTTAGTTTGTCTAGCAATAGCTACAATGAATTTGTTTATTTGTGTGTACTACAGTAGCAGCTATACCCGTGCCTTACAACAGGGTCAGTATGCAAAAGAGACATTGTTGGTGTTGTATATGTATATATATTATCTAATAGGGGTGTGCGAAGCAGCAAAAAATTTTCGATTCGAAGCAACGATTCGATTCAAAAGATTTTCGATTCGATTCGATGCAACTCGATTCGAAGCAATACGGTATTTTTCTATTCATAATTGTCAATTGAGTGGATTAACAATAATTAAAATTTATCACATTTGTGTAATACAAATTTTTGTTGATGTGGTATTAGGCCTATTCATACTTACATATGAATTTTAGGTGAAAAAATATTTATTTTCAATCATATGTATTAGAATAACTGCTGGAAATACCAGTGAGCTGCTTTACTTGCCTATTTCATAATTTTTACTTGGAATTGGCTCAACTGCAAGAAAGAAGAAAATATTTTTTTTATCAAGACATTCATTCTCATTTTAATAACTGTTTAAATAACTAAATAGGTACCGGTAGCTAAATTACAACAAATTTGAATGGAACTTAATATAAAAAGACCATTAAGAAATAAATTTACATTATCACAAGTTTAGGGCCTGTGGACCGGCTTCAGGACTGCAAGCAAGAAGAAAATAAAAATAATATGTTTCCACCATGCAACATGTATCATTCATTCCCTGCCTCCTAACCTCCTTAGTATAATAACCTCACACTTACATTATTTGTTACATCATCATAAATAAAGAATTATTATTGGCATCAGTAGGCCTACAGCTTTACATAGGCATTATTTTTATAGGGCCTAAAATAGTAATAGGCTAGAAGCAACATGTCAAGTGGAGAACTCATTGAAGAAAAGATATTGTGTAAACTAATTTCCTATAAAACTCAAAAACAGTAAATAACATACAAACATTGTTTATGGTATAATTAATAAGGACTAAAAAATGCATATCATGTCATACAGTAGTATAGACCTACCGGTACTGCAAGAGATTAAAATCCTAAAACAACTGATTTTGATAGCTAATGAATGAAAAGAATTAAAAATCCATAAAATGAAGCTAAACAATATCACAACTAATTAGGTACCCGAAAAGTAACTCTTAAATAATATATAGAAGATTAAAATAATATTAAATCAAGAGACAAGAAAGTTAAATGCTATCTTCTAGTGCCCTTGGCAACACAGGTCAATGTTTTTAAACTACCCTCAATGTTTTTGGAACAGCAGGGCCTTTTTCTCTTAAGGAAGGGTAGTAGTATGTCAACAAAAACAATGAATCAGTCTCACCAGCCAGGCCCGGGCAACGATGTGTGAATTCAAGGTCATAGACCCTCCCCCTCCCCTCTTACACCACCCGGTTGCTACCCAGTTGCTTCAATTGCTGACAAAATGCAAGTGATGAAACAAGGAAGTAGAGACAAAGAAATATATTTCTTTATTCAAAAACACAAAACTGTTAGAGATTATTTTCAAAGAAATTAATTCAATGTAATTTGTGAGTTGTAAATATTGTATTGGATCTTAGAAATATATTTTTTTAACCCTATTTAACCAAGATACAGATCTGTTCACTATATCAGATATTTCTTTTGTTTATAATTTATTATGTAAAATACTAAAATATATTTTTAATTAGGTATTGAATGAACAATAAATGATTATACTAGTATGTCTGGATAAATAGTCTTTCTATTCTTTTGACTTTGTTTTCTTTGCACTGTTAGTGTTGCGTCACGGCTTTTGTCTTGTTACTCTTATCAGTAGACGACTAGACCTGGCTCTGGCTAGTGGCAGTGCGGCAATTGCTCTGTTGTGTCTTTATTCTTAAAGGTCGTGAGCCAACTTAATTTTTAATTCTCATTTGAACATTTTAATTCCTCTGTAATAGATATAATAATATAAGAGTGTTTCTTTGGAAATAAATTATTCTTTTTTTTCTTTTGCCCCAACAAAAATTCGGGGACGGGGACCGACAGACACCTAACAAAAATACCAAATGTATCAGTCTATAACATTGATCTTACTAGTTAAGTATTAAGTAACAATTTTTCAGACTTATTTTTAAAATTATTTTGGAGTAACCTACTTTGTTTTGGCTAGGTTCACAGTAGTAAAATATTTCACACACTGCTTACATCAAGACAAAAAACAAAACCTCTAATCATTTGCAATGTCAAAACAAAAAAATATAAAACAATTAAAGCTATATTTAATGCAAAGAATGTATTAAATAAGAACGCCTTCGTAAAGGAAACGCAACAGCAACGCGCTCCTGTATTGCGGGTATTGCATTGACTTTCTGCAGGCGTTTTTCGTATATGGATACTGACTCCCTCGTGAATCGAATCGTTTTTTGACCACCACTGAATCGAATCGCGATTCGATGCATCGAATCGAATCGAATCGAAATTTCGATGCATTTTCGATGCATCGCACACCCCTATTATCTAATCAGGTTTCAGTTATTACGTTTGGCTCAGATGACAACACTGTGCTGTTGCACAAGAAACTAAAATAAAGAAGTCTGCAGAGGTAAAAGTAGCACAGTTTCTTTATGTAGCTGGTAGAGAAACATTGTCAATCTTCCAGACTTTCAAGCTAAGGGAAATAAGTAATTTAAAATTCAAAGATGTATTAGCCGCATTTGATAAATATTTTACACCAAAAACTAACGTAGTGTACCAATGCTTCTTATTTTTTTTAAAGGGCTCAAAGGGAAGGGGAACCATTTATGCATGTTTTAACAGACCTGAAAAAATTAGCCAGTTATTGTGAATTTGGTGAGCAAGAAGACAGTCTAATTAGAGACAGGCTAGTATGCATCAGGGACGAGTTTCTTCAGGAGCGGCTTTTAAGAGTATCTAATCTTAGACTAGAGGAAGCCATTGAACAGTGTACGTTGTACTATAATGATGTTCATAAGGAACGTAGTGTTTACTCTTAACTCAGTGTACTCCGGAGAGGCAAAAGCCTTATCCAATAGTGATTTAACTACCGGTATTAATCCATCAACTGGTGTGTATATTAATTGATACTAGATAGCCTGTTGCTCGAAATCGAGCAAAACTGCAACTTGTAATAAAATAATGAAGAACAAAAAACAAAAACAGCATAACCTCAATCATAGAGTCACTCTAAAGTAATTTCTATGACCAATTATAGAAATGTGAAAAATATTATATTGTAAAAAATTATTAAAGTAATCTATGGTACAATATTTAAATATATATCCGTTCTCATACTGCTTTGGTCTTATGTACTGTAGGCGGGTACCCTCTATGAGAACCTAGATGTCAACCACACACTTTAAAGTGTGCTTTTCAGACCTAATATGGCAAGCTAAATCCCTCTCTTGACGCCAACCAGTGCGATACGTACAATAGCATTGTTAAATTATCCCTACGATATGTGCTGTTTTAGGTGTGCTTTAATTAAGTGCCCTAACAATGTCTCCAGTTGGGAAAATAAGAGTGGATTTAACGACGTATCTAGAACGGATTCACGTTTAAAACTATTATATATATAAACTAAGATTTATTTGGCCAGATGGTGCTCTGTTTTCAGCTTTAAAATAGCTGTGACATCTATACAGGTGGCATCATTGTAGCGAGGGAAGTCACTTCTTTTGTCTCTTACAATGCACATAAGAATCTGACTTGACTCCTCAGAGCTGTCGTCCCTACAAATTTCTGCCACAGTTTTTTGTTTTAATTGTTTTACATGCTCTGTTGGGTTCAGTGCCAACGTCGTACTTGGAGATCTGTGCGTATTCAGGATCATGACCTTCTTGAGGAATTAGATTACCTACTCAGTGGTAAAACATATCAAGGATCTCGAGATTGTAGATCCCCTGTGTGACCCTCTCGTCAAAATGAGCTTCAGAGCTGACCATGGCAAAGGTGGAATTGAATTGACGAATTTTATCCAGATACTTTCTGGATCTAAGCCTCACAGCCCTGCTTTCTGATTGGGAATTTCCAATAAGTTCCTGAAAGTATGGTGAATTCCGCAAATGAGGTAAACGAACCTTTCATTTATGGCAACGAAGAGTAAAAATTAAACTGTCTCGGCCAGTCTTCTCTTGCTTAACATGTAAGCCACCACAATGTAAATATTTAACGTTCATTTGTGCGAGATGGGATGTATCACCACGGCGGTACTGCCACTCTGTATCCGTCAAATTAATTGGGAGGTTGATGCAAGCGGTCACATTTGCGTTCACTCCAGCCACTCCCAGGTTCTTTGTCTTACTGGTGGCATTTAATTTGAAATTGAGATAAAATACAAAAGTTAACCAATCAACAGAAAACACTACAAAGGAATTTTGATACACATTGTAAATTATATGATAATATGGTAATGTAACGTGTGCTCTTAATTTAACGGATTCGCTTTGCTCTGGAAGTTTTAAGTCCTGCAGTCTGTGATTAACCTTAAAAACTATTTCAAACTACAGTAGACCCCCTCTTAACCGACCCTAATGGGACCGGACCTAGGTCGGATGATTCAAAAGGTCGGATAAAACGGGCAATCCCTAAAATCATAACATAATAAAGTGCTATTCATTTGGAATTATATAATCATTATTTTGAAGTCATACTTGCATTATTTATAAAATAAACTACTCTTATCTCCTTTTTCATATTGATAGAAATGTCACAAATAAACACAAAACACGGTTAAGACAAATAGGCCTATTTTCAGTGAATATATTATAATACTAGGTAAGAGTCAATAAAATTCCTATTTTAATAACTTTACTACTGTAATGTATTAATTAATGCTTTCCAAATACATCGTAATACAGTAAAGAACCTTTTGTCGTCATTAAAGATACAAGCGACCATTTTGTTACAAGACAGGACGTTTATTTATAGCCTCTCACTGGAGGCTCGAGGCACAAAAACTATCTTGACCTTGGTGT